TCAGGTCTCTCCAGAGATGTTTGATCAAGTTCAAGTCCGGGCTCTGGCTGGGCCACTCAAAGACATTCAGAGCCTTGTCCTGAAGCCACTCCTGCGTTGTCTTGGCTGTGTGCTTAGGGTTGTTGTCCTGTTGGAAGGTGAACCTTCGGCCCAGTCTGAGGTCCTGAGCGCTCTGGAGCAGGTTTTCATCAAGGATCTCTCTGTACTTTGCTCCGTTCATCTTTCCCTCGATCCTGACTAGTCTTCCAGTCCCTGCCGCTCAAAAACATCCCCACAACATGATGCTGCCTCCACCATGCTTCACCGTAGGGATGGTATTGGCCAGGTGATGAGCGGTGCCTGGTTTCCTCCAGACGTGACGCTTGACATTCAGGCCAAAGAGTTCAATCTTGGTTTCATGAGACCAGACAATCTTGTTTCTCATGGTCTGAGAGTCCTTTAGGAAGCCTTTTGGCAATCTCCAAGCGGGCTGTCATGTGCCTTTTACTGAGGAGTGACTTCCGTCTGGCCACTCTACCGTAAAGGCCTGATTGGTGGAGTGCTGCAGAGATGGTTGTCCTTCTGGAAGGTTCTCCCATCTCCACAGAGGAAGTCTGGAGCTCTGTCAGAGTGACCATTGGGTTCTTGGTCACCTCCCTGACCAAGGCCCATCTCCCCCGATTGCTCAGTTTGGCTGTGCGGCCAGCTCTAGGAAGAGTCTTGATGGTTCCAAACTTCTTCCATTTAAGAATGATGGAGGCCACTATGTTCTTGGGGACCTTCAATGCTGCAGAAATGTTTTGGTACCCTTCCCTCGACACAATCCTGTCTCGGAGCTCTACGGACAATTCCTTCGACCTCATGGCTTGGTTTTTGCTCTGACATGCACTGTCAACTGTGGGACCTTATATAGACAGGTGTGTGCATTTCCAAATAATGTTCAATCAATTGAATTTACCACAGGTGGACTCCAATCAAGTTGTAGAACCATCTCAAGGATGATGAATGGAAACATGATGCACCTGAGCTCAATTTCGAGTCTCATAGCAAAGGGTGTGAATACTTATGTAAATAAGGTATTTCTGTTTTTATTTTCAATTAATTTGCAAACATTTCTAAAAACCTGTTTTCACTTTGTCATTATGGGGTATTGTGTGTAGATTGATGAGGATTTAATCAATTTTAGAATAAGGCTGTAACGTAACAAAATGTGGAAAAAGGGAATGGGTCTGAATACTTTCCGAATGCAATGTATAACATTCGTCACGTCTATAATTGACACCATTGTTGGACCACTACAAATAAATGCTGTTGTTGAACTCTGCCCTGTTTGTCTCTACCTAACTGGATCCGGCCCTTACACCTGGATTGTCTTTGAGCTGGCTGTTTGTCATTGTACCCTATTGCCCAGCATGGGGTATTGTGTGTAGATTGATGAGATTATTATTTATTTATTTTTAATCCATTTTAGAATAAGGCTGTAACGTAACTGTCACACCCTGATCTGTTTCACCTGTCTCGTGCTTGTCTCCACCCCTCACCAGGTGTCTCCCATTTGTTCCCATTATCCCCTGTGTATTTAGACCAGTGTTTTCTGTTTGTCTGTTGCCTGTCCGTGTTTCCTGTGCTCAAGTTTTTGCTTTTCCTAGTCTTCCCAGTTCTGACCTTTCTGCCTGTCCTGACCCTGATCCTGCCTGCCGTCCTGTACCTGCCTGACTGATTTGGATTACGACTCTTTGCCTGGCTTGACCTACCAATTGCCTGCCGTCCTGTACTGACTGACTCTGATTTGGATTACGACTCTTTGCCTGCCTTGACTTACCTTTTGCCTGCCCCTTGTACTATAATAAACTCTGAGACTCGTACTATCCGCCTCCTGTGTCTGCATCTGGGTCTTAGCCTGAGCCGTGATAGTAACAAAATGTGGAAAAGGTAAAGGGGTCTGAATACTTTCCGAATGCACTGTATAACACACTGCCAATCAATTATTACAACTTCTGTGATTATGCAAATTATTCTGTTTTCTCTTGTCGACTTCCTGCCAGTTTGGACCAATGCAGGTGTTTTTGATATCTCTGTGCCACACACCGTGGGTGACTGAGTAAACATCCGGGCCTCATTCAAGAACTAACCAGACCACCACCATCACTGTGCCCTGGCCTAGTCAGAGCATGGACCAAATGCATGTCCTGCTTCGTGACTATTGTCTATTGTTGGTGGCCTGGTGATAAATGGGGCACCTATCTGATGGACTGAACTGTTCTGAGAGACCCAGAAGCCATCCTCATCCTCCTAGGATGGCGGGAGCAGATCTCAGAGCGATAGCGCAAACTGCGGCTTTTTGAAGAAAAAAAGAGACATGACAGGTGTGATTAAGTAGCCATGATTTTGCACATCAGTGACACCAAAGCAGATACTCAGAACACTGATCAAGTGAGACACAGAGATAGCGGTATGTAGACGTAGTTACTGTAATGACCTGTGCTGGCTCAGCATTTTAAAACCTCTCAGAGGGTTTGGACAACAACCAAAAGGGTACTTTGAGTCAAGCATTGAGTACAGTGATGGGAATAACTAAGCATCACAAAGGCAAACTGTTACATGCACCTCTGTAGTCTCAGCCATTATTCCATTAAGTAGCACTTGTAAATACCAGCATAAAAAATCTTTACAATATTTTCCTAGATGACTCACTAATTCAAACCATCTTAATGTGCCTTGCCTCTTTGTGTGGGAAACCCTGTGAGAGTGGTGTGAGTCAGAATGGTCAAGATGTTAGTATTAATCCACTGTTGACGCTCATACTTCAAATATTTGCTCAATCTGTGTGGTAAACGGACAAAAGAAAGTCCTGTAATTAAAAACTTTATTTATGGCAATATTCGGAAGAGAAGATGAAAACGTATGTAATGTGACCAACGGAAACATATTTCCTATAAATGGCAATGTATATACTGTACTCACTGGCGTACCACACACCCCTGCACCCCCTGCAAGTTGGGGGTGGGCTTGGGTTGGGGGCACCCTGGAGGTCTGCCCCCTCCCCAGATAGCATATGAACACGTCATAAACCATGACAGAAACATTTTGAATTACAGGAAATTAGCTGTAAAACTGCAAAATGTTCTCACAGCATCATGGCAAAATGTGTAGAATAGCAGGAAATAAGCTTTAAAAATGCACAATTCTCTCAGCCTCATTGCAAAATCTGTGGACTAGCATGAGATTAGCTATAAAACTGCACATTTTTGCAAATATACTGCAAATATGTGTAGAATTGTCTGAAGTTAGCTGTTTCCCCCCCAAAAAAATCTACCAAAACAAATAATATATATGTATTAAACTGCAGTACGCCACTGAGTGTGCTGTACATATACTGTCCAGTACACACATAATCATTTCCAAAATATGTTTTCTTGACCATTTCAACATGATGACTAATATCTGACATGTCCAAGAACGACTCCTCTAGGAAGTCAGTCGGACAGCCTAAAGCAGCCGTCTCTAAAAACTTTTTCCACAGGAATGTCATTTGTTCCATCTGAGAGGCGCACACACACACGCCAAAAGCATTTACCAACACAAGCATTTCACAAAGCATATCCGTCAAGTTTCCCTGGCCAGGTGAACTTTCAAAACAGCGTCCATCTGTAAAACAAATAGCGAGCCCCTACAGAGGTGTGCAAAGAATCCAGATGATCAAAGAGTGTGAGAATGGCAGCCTTGTCTTGGCCTGGCTATTATCAGGGCCATGAATGGCTGTCTTCTCGCCTTTTGTTTGCCCAAGCATTGACAGTCACTCACCCGGCAATGACTGTCACATCAGCGTAAAGAGCCAGCCGCCGACAGAGGCCAACCACATCAAACGAGTCTGTTGAGGGGCCCTGCTCGTGAACCGTAACAAGAAACACCTCCTGATCCTCACCTACATCTCAGCAGCAGACACCAACCGCTGTGACTGTGATCCCAACCACCACCTCCATTGAGAAAATATGTACTGGCTAGACCTCATTTCCCAGCCTGGCCTCTCAAGTAGTACTTATGTTAACTTCCAGCGCCTCACACAAAAGGCTGCACAAGTCTTTAAGAATGCTTTACGGGTGACAAGAGGATTCTGACACTTGTTAGGTCAAACGGCATGCATGCTATTAGAATGATGTAGAATGTATTTTCTGCATTACTTCAATTAAGGATACAATGAAAAGGGCCTATGAAAAGAATATTCAATTTTGATGCAGTGTGTATGTGAATCTCATTGTATTGCAGAAGCACTGTGCATTTGTTTCAAAGGGTATGCTGAGCATGATATTGTTGCGAACAGAGGGGCAGGGAACTGAACACTGTACGCATCGCACCAATAGGGTTAACCAAACTAATTTACAAGCAGAACTAATATGATTATTTTCAAACATGGTATTATTTTGTAATTACACATTGACAACGTGAATTGGCAGTTCAATTCTGTTTCAAAAGTTAATCAGTGGTAGTTGGAAGCCATCCAAAAGGTTGTGATTTTCCACTCAAACCAACACATAATAGTACCAGCAAGACCACTTATGTATGACCCCTAGTTTGACCTTTGTTCTACTTATTATATGGTGAGGCTGCCACCTATTGGTGATATAGGTCATACACATGTTTGAAACTCATTGTCCTTTATGTTTTTCAGCTGAGGTCATAATTTCTATAATTTATCAGATATTCCTGAATAATACAATAAAATATCAATTTGAACAAACATAACAATTATTATTCATTGAGAATAAAGGTAAAACAACATACATTTTGCACATAAATTCCACAAATTGCATATTTATGATTCGTTGTTTATTTGTTTAATTGGTAACAATCTACACTCCATTGCAGAAAAAAACGTTCCTTCTTCTTTCAAAACAAACACAGCTCAATTTTTCGGTGGTCTTCTATCCATGCCTGTACTCAGATCCATTGTGTTCGATTAGCTGGTGTAATTCAAAATGGCAGCCTAGTGTGGTAAAAAGTAATGCGGTTATTATGTCAACATGTCACTTTTGAGACTCTGTACCTTTCCAAAGTGTCTGAGTGGTCGCATACTGTTGGAAAGAAGTGTTCGTCGTGTGTCAAATGTTGACCATTGCCTTACAATCCAGAATAACGTTGAAAGGCAAATATCAGGTATGTTTCCTCGCTATCTAGCTACTTACTGTATGTCAAGCCAAGGGGACGGGTGCACCACGAGACAGTGCTGTGCTGGAACTCTCATGACTAGTTATAATATCCTTGGAATATTTGGTATCTCTCGATCGCTATCTACTAGTAATGTATTATAATATATAAATTGATTTACCAGCTGTAGTTGACCAGCCATTACATACCCATCCTCAATTCTCATCCTGTAGAGATTTTAAAGCCAAGTTTGTAAACGCAGAGATATATGTTAATGAGGTAAATTACTGTATTTACAGCTTACGTAACTATATTAAGTTATCATGTCATTTTATGAACTTGCATATTATGAACTTGCAGGTCGTTGCCTGACAACGTAAATGCAATATTTGCTCAATCGTATTTCTAAACCTCAACACGAATTGGCATCTGATCAGTGTGCCAGTTTTTGTCAAAGAAAAGCTGACAATACCTACTTCTTGCAGAGCCACCATGGACATCACAACGAAGACATTTCTCAGCTCTGATTCCAAAGAAAGAAGATAGGAAAAAACGAGTATGGGAACAATCTCAGCTGCTGGATGGTGCGTATTCATAGGCCTACTTGCTTTTCTAGGTTTGGAAATGGTCAATGGCTTTACATTTTAAATGGTGTTCTTAGCATGCATGAGATACCTCAAATCCTTATGTTGATTTTCTATCGGATTATTTTACTATTTTCTCTCTCCCCTTCCTCTTTGCAGTGCTTGAAACCAGGATCCAGCAACTCCAATCTGACATCATTGTAGATGTCCAACATGTAAAGGTGCAATTTGTCAAAGCTTCTAAGTCAGGGACTGGGGCTTCTTCAGGGAACAGTCCCAATAATGTGTCTGGGGAGAGAACAGAGGTGTCCAAGGCGGGACAGACTATTAGTAAGGGAGGGGGACAGACTGGTAAAGGAGGGGGAAAAGATGCCTCAGCCTCCAAATCCCGCTGGATGGAGAAACTAAGCCAGGAGAAGAAGACTAAAACAAAGAAACTGAAGCAGCAGCTAGGCATAGAGGATAAACCTGTGAAAAGCAGCAAAGGCAAACTGATGCTACCAGGTACCTCACATAAAACCATATCGACAAAAGCAGGAATAAAGACTGTATCAACTGCTAAAAAGAGCAAAACTCTGAAAAACCAAGAGCACACCATGGCAGCTGCAAACCAAGAGCACACTATGGCAGCTGCACCGGTTGCTGCTGCTACTGTGCCTCTTAGAAAAGCCAAAGGGAAGGGGAAAGCCTCGAAGGAGCCGGCTCCTGAGTTGTCAGAAGCCAAGGCCAGGACCAAGGAGCTGGCTGAGCTGGAGGAGCTGGAGAGAAAGGCTGAGGCCAAGGCCCGGGAGCTGGCAGAGGTGGAAGAGCTGGAGAGGAAGCTGAACCAGTGGGCTGTGTCGGCCAGCCCTGAGCACGTGCAGGATAACAGCGAGGCCAGAGTGTACGGGGATGTCCACCGTAGTGTCCGCTGTTACCTGGAGGCCTGTGTGTTCTGTGGGGACATCGACCGAGCCCACCATTTTCTGCTCAGCCACCACCGTATGGTCAGCCGGCGCAACCTGCTCAACATAGGACTCTACAACATCATGATGAGGGTCTGGGCCAAGAAGGTAAGTGCTGCTCACCTGTATTTCTATGGCATGTGGTATATTTTAGAGACTTTAATTATGCAGGGCCTCCCCATGTGGAATATAAGATAGAGTGTGTCTCTCCTTGTTGTATTCCAGGGCTCTTTAAACCAGATTGGCCGTATGTTCATTCTGGTAGAAGAGGCTGGTCTGAAGCCTAACCTCAGCTCCTACTGTGCTGCTCTGGAGTGTATGGGCCGAACCCCTAACTGTTCTCCACGTGTCATCAACAGGTAGGCTAACACACAGATATAGCCATTTGCAGACCTTAACTCATTACTGTAACTCTGAGCCTCTTGATCTTAGATAAAGATAATAGTATTTGCTATACAACATAAAACAAAACAATGCCTAGACCTTCAAGACTGCATTGGAAAGTAGGCTTAGAATGTGTAAGATCATTATTTGTAGTCTTATTTGTAGTAGATTATTACTAGGTGGCCAGTGCATGCGTTGCCTGAGTTTGCCACTAGATGATGTCAGACTCTCCTATTAGCTTTGCGGTTCATGTTTCTCTTTATTCTAGCCTCTTCTGTTATACAGTGTTAACAACAAAAATGTATGCATGCATTCATTACTTTAATTCACTTTGGTTAAAAACATATGCTAAATGGCATATATTATTATTATGTCTAGACATACTGGGATTCACAAAAGCCTGATGAAATATTCTGAAAATTAGACAGTGAGCAGCTAGTTTCTTTTTCAAGACTGTTTAAATATGAGACCCTGACCCCTAATTTCCTGCTCTCCTCCATCACAATGGGGCCTATTGTGGTCTCCACATCAACCCAGTGGAGGAAACTGTTTTCAAGTGGACTGGTTATTATGTGTAACATCCTGCGTGCGCTATGTTGTTTTATCAATGATCAATTTATCCTCCTGACATACACTATATATACAAAGGTATGTGGACACCCCTTAAAATTAGTGGATTCGGCTATTTCAGCCACACCCTTTGCTGACAGGTGTATAAAATCGAGCATGCAGCCATGCGATCTCCATAGACAAACATTGGCAGTAGAATGGCCTTACTGAAGAGCTCAGTGACTTTCAACGTGGCACAGTCATAGGATGCCACCTTTCCAACAAGTCAGTTCGTCAATTTTTTTCCCAGCTAGAGCTGCCCCGGTCAACTGTAAGTGCTGTTATTGTGAAGTGGAAACGTCTAGGAGCAACAACGGCTCAGCCGCGAAGTGGTAGGCCACACAAGCTCACAGAATGGGACTGCCGAGTGCTGAAGCGCATAGCGCATAACTCTCCTTGGTTGCAACACTCACTAACGAGTTCCAAACTGTCTCTGGAAGCAACGTCAGCACAATAACTGTTCGTCGGGAGCTTCATGAAATGGGTTTCCATGGAAGAGCAGCCGCACACAAGCCTAAGATCAACATGCGCAATGCCAAGCGTCGGCTGGAGTGGTGTAAAGCTCGCCGCCATTGGACTCTGGAGCAGTGGAAACGTGTTCTCTGGCATGATGAATCACGCTTCACCATCTGGCAGTCCGACGGACGAATCTGGGTTTGGCGGATGCCAGGAGAATGCTACCTGCCCAAATGCATAGTGCCAACTGTAAAGTTTGGTGGAGGAGGAATAATGGTCTGAGGCTGTTTTTCATGGTTCGGGCTAGGCCCGTTAGTTCCAGTGAAGGGTAATCTTAACGCTACAGCATACAATGACATTATAGACGATTCTGTGCTTCCAACTTTGTGGCAACAGTGGGGATGGCCCTTTCCTATTTCAGAATGACAATGCCCTCTTGCACAAAGCGAGGTCCATAGAGAAATGGTTTGTCGAGATCGGTGTGGAATAACTTGAATGGCCTGCACAGAGCCCTGACCTCAACCACATCGAACATCTTTGGGATGAATTGTAACGACAACTGCGAGCCAGGCCTAATCGCCCATCATCAGTGCCCGACCTCACTAATGCTCTTGTGGCTGAATGGAAGCAAGTCCCCACAGCAATGTTCCAACATCTAGTAGAAAACCTTCCCAGAAGAGTGGAGGCTGTTATAGCAGCAAAGGGGGGACCAACTCCATATTGATGCCCAAGATTTTGGAATGAGATGTTCGACGAGCAGCTGTCTTTTGGCCATGTAGTGTATCTTTCTATGCTCCTGCTATGTTGTTTTCAATTGTCTCGACTCTTGGCCAACAGAACGAAAGCTTGGGAAGTTGTAAATACTGTAGCTATAGAGAAGCTAATTGATGTGTATCAGGTGTCGATAAAGGTTACAGTTACTGTCTCACCCAGATGACTCAATCCATCCATCCAGCCAGCCTTTTCTCATCAAGGACACAGTCTCACAGCAGAATGAATGGTGTTAAGTAAGTAGGGCATCCTGGGTGAGAAATCACCATTGATGAGTGTTATTAATTGAGTTTAGGCCAGTGGTGGTGTCAGTGACTGCATGCTGCCTCCACACATAGATTTATTACATTACATTTAGCATGGAGGCACACATAAAGCATCGCCACACTGTTCACCTCTAGCTCTCCCAGTACTAGATATATCATAATGAATGTCTCTGATGTAGGCTAGGCCAATCTGCTGGCTGACTATACAGAGGCAGGAGCCAAATGGATTTCAGTCAGGCCAAATGGATTGTGATTGATACTGTATGTTTTTGGTTTCTTAACAACCTGCTGTCAGTAATTTGATTGTGCTTATTGGACAAGGAAATGACACCGATTGTTTGGAAGATTTGTGAAAGACAATTTGTCGTTGTCAATTTGTTGACTAGAACGTTAGGCTAATTGATTAAAAATGTAATTTAAAAAAATACATCTGCACAGAAACTGGCTGGTATAAAGGTATTAGTATTTCTAATAACACCGATCAGATTTTCTTTCTAGTTGTGTTGGACTGCAGATCTTGTCTCCAGCTATCCCTCCCTACTCTACTGTCCCCCCTGAGGATGTCACCCTATGCGGTGTGGCCCAATGACAAAGCAGGTTGCAGTGCAGTAGGGGTGGAGAGGGGCAGCTGGTTGGTCCATCGATCACTGTAAGGTGATACCAATGACATTGTTGTTCTGCGGTGGTGCTCTCTTGCTAACTCTTCAGCCCAGCCAGTACATATTTTTCCGCACACTCTGTTCTTCCTCCACTTCCCCCGTTCGTCTCCAGTTCCCCCTCTCTCTTCCTCTCTCTCCTGCCCTGATATGGTTGCCATTGTCCACAGCGGCACTGTGCCTAGTGACTAGCATCCTTTAAAAGCACATCTCATTCCTACAGAACTAAAGTCAATCTTCAGCTTGCTCAATTAAGCTTGCTCCCCCTCTAAATGGTTATTTTCCCCCCACTGGTTGCCCTTTTCTTGTGGCAATAGGTCACAAATATTTCTGTTGTGATGGCACACTGTGGTATTTCACCTAATAGATATGGGATTTTATCAACATTTGATTTGTTTTTTAATTATTTGTGGGCCTGTATGATCTGAGGGAAATATGTGTCTCTAATATGGGCACACATTTGGCAGGTTAGGAAGTGCAGCTCAGTTTCCACCTACTTTTGTGGGCAGTGTGCACATAGCCTGTACGGCGGCCTCTCAATAGCAAGGCTATACTCATTGAGTCTGTACATAGTCAAAGCTTTCCTTAATTTTGGGTCAGTCATTGGTCAGGTATTCTGCCATTGTATGCTCTCTGTTTAGGGCCAAATATCATTCCATTTTGCACTGTTTTATGGCTAATTCTTTCCATTGTGTCAAGTAATTATCTTTTTGTTATCTCTTTTTGTTGTCCTGGACCAGCTTGCTGAGGGGACTCTTCTCTAGGTTCATCTCTCTGTAGCAGTGTTTCCTAAAACAATATTTGTCCACATCACGGTTCAGCTGTCAGAGATTTGAGCACTAAATGAATCAAGGCATTGCATGCATAGGCCTATAGGCTTAGTCGTCCACTGTATGACATTAATATATAAATATATACAGTACCAGTCAAAAGTTTGGACACACCTACTCATTCCAGGGTTTTTCTTTATTTTTCCTATTTTTACGTTGTATAATAATAGTGAAGACATCAAAACTATGAAATAACACATGGAATCATGTAGTAACCAGAAAAGTTTTAAACAAATCAAAATATATTTTATATTTGAGATTCTTCAAATAGCCACCCTTTGCCTTGATGACAGCTTTGCGCACTCTTGGCATTCTCTCAACCAGCTTCACCTGGAATGATTTTCCAACAGTCTTGAAGGAGTTCCCACATATGCTGAGCACTTGTTGGCTGCTTTTCCTTCACTCTGCCTTCCGACTCATCCCAAACCATCTCAATTGGGTTGAGGTCGGGGGATTGTGGGGGCCAGGTCATCTGATGCAGCACTCCATCACTCTTCTTCTTGGTAAAATAGCCCTTACACAGCCTGGAGGTGTTTTGGGTCATTGTCCTGTTGAAAAACAAATGATAGTCCCACTAAGCCCAAACCAGATGGGATGGAGTATCGCTGCAGACTGCTGTGGTAGCCATGCTGGTTAAGTGTGCCTTGAATTCTAAATAAATCACAGACAGTGTTACCAGCAAAGCACCCCCACACCATAACACCACCTTCCCCATGCTTTATGGTGGGAAATACATATGCGGAGATCATCCATTCACCCACACCGCATCTCACAAAGCCACTGCGGTTGGAACCAAAAATCTCAAATTTGAACTCCAGACCAAAGGACACATTTCCACCGGTCTAATGTCCATTGCTCGTGTTTCTTGGCCCAAGCAGTCTCTTCTTCTTATTGGTGTCCTTTAGGAGTGGTTTCTTTGCAGCAATTTGACCATCAAGGCCTGATTCACACAGTCTCCTCTGAACAGTTGATGTTGAGATGTGTCTGTTACTTGAACTTTATTGGAACATTGCTGTGGGGACTTGCTTCCACTTATTTATTTTGGCTGCAATTCTGAGGCTGGTAACTCTAATGAACTTATCCTCTGCAGCAGAGGTAACTGTGGGTCTTCCATAATTGTGGCGGTCCTCATGTGAGCTAGTTTCATAGCGCTTGATGCTTTTTGCGACTGCACTTGAAGAAACGTTCAAAATTCTAGAAATTTTCGGAATTGACTGACCTTCATGTCTTAAAGTAATAATGGACTGTTGTTTCTCTTTGCTTATTTGAGCTGTTCTTGCCATAATATGTACTTGGTCTTTTACCAAATAGGGCTATCTTCTGTATAACCCCCTACCTTGTCACAACACAACTGATTGGCTGAAACGCATTAAGAAGGAAATAAA